ATTAAAGACTTAAACTTTACTTTTTGTCAATAATTTTTCAAAGAATACAACGACTCTTTGAAACATTTGAATCATTAAATAAAAAACCGAAATATTCAAAAATTTATTAAACATTATCAAAATATGTAAATATAAACTATTAATATGCAATATAAAGAGGTTTTTTCATCTCGGAACAAATCGAATATTTCTTTCTTCAAAATTGTTTGAATCGTTCACTATTACAATGGAATTCAAACTTATATCTGCGAAAAAACATCAACCCTGAGGGAGTCGGAAACTAATTAGGTTTAAGATTTGTCCCTCCTCTTAAAAGAAGACGTCCTCTCGAGATGGAATGTGGAAAGCTTGTCACTGAAGCTGCCCGGAGTACCGGGACATGGACTTTCCTTACTGGATGCACTGGATCTGAAGACGTAGAAATATTTGTATTTTATCGCATTACATTAGTGGTTATTTACTAACTAAATGAAGTTATTAAAACTTCTAATATTATAAATGCGAATATTTAGATGTATGAATGTTTGTTAGACGGTATCTCCAGAACGGCTGCATAGATCTCGCTGAAAAGCATAGATGTAGAACATAGTCTAGAAGAACACATAGACTAACTATTTTTTTTGTTAATTTCGCGCAGACGAAGTGTCGGACGACAGCTCATCAGGATCCATGCCGCTGTTTTGGACCTTATATATACCTTATAACAAATATCCATCTATATATTCAAACATTTGTATTTATAATATTAATAAGATTTAACATTTGCCCCCCCCCCCTCTCACACACAAACACACACTACCTGTAAAGTTGTTGTGCGCTGCAGAGCGGTGTGTCCACAGCTTGAGTTACATCCAGACTTGAGTGATCCACCACGTACTTCTGCTTGCGAGGATCATATCTACACAACAATACAAACCTATAAGCATATTTACACTTGTCTTGATATCACTCTGTTGAGTTTTAATAATTCAACGAATGCCTCATGTATTTATATTAATATTGTAAAGAGGAAAGATTTAGTTGTTTGCATTGAATAGGTACCAAAACTATTGAACCGATTTGTAAAATTATTTTACTGTTGGGAAGCTTCACTATCTTCGCATGATATATTAAATATTAGATTGTTTTTAATTCCCTATTAAATAGACAAAATCGCGAAAAACTGCTAGTAAATTTAAAAAAAAATAAGAGTAATTATGATACTATAAGAATGAATATCCACTTCAAGGACAGCGCGCGTAATATTTTGTTAGGAATTAATTCTATTTCCACACACCCGTGGCAGTAAAATGGCCATTTAAATAAATTGTGTATAAACACGGCAGCCAAAATTCTTGTATTAATTTGTTAACATCACTAATAAAACTGTATACATAAAAATATCCAATTAACTCTATTCACGACTACATTTAGTTGTTAACACTTCCCGCGTTATTCTCTTCTGTATTTTCACCTAACTTTTTTTTAATCAAAAAGGCAAAAGTTCAGTGGCCAGTATGCCACCTCTTTGGTAGAATTAATCTATGTGGAGGAAAGAGTTGGGATACGTCGTGACGTCAGCAGTGCGCAGAGTGCAGCGAACAAATTCAATGTTACCAACTTGACGACGGGAGGGAAGCGATGTCCCCACAGCACTTCGCGCGGCAAGTACGACGTCTGGCTCTGAGTGAACGTGCCCATTGACGCGGACGCGCCCTTCAGACTTATTGTTATCTCGTAACTGAAAATACAATATATAACTGCATACAAATTATATTTCTATATTACTAATATTATAAATGCGAATGTTTAGATGGATGGATGTTTGAAGGTTTCTCCAGAACGGTTCAAAGGATCTCGATGATATTTGGCATACAAAGAACATAGTCTGGAAGAACACATAGACATGTCTCGGGCGACAGCTAATACAATAAAACTATGAAAATTCGCTGACATAATACTTTTATTTAAACATCTTGTTATGGCTGTTTTTACATGACTAAGATACATTTTTTTCGCATAATTTATATTTATGTATGTATTTGTATGTATGTTAATTCCTTTATTACGGCCTACAGTCTATTATAAAAGAATAAACCGATTTTAACGAGCGAGATCTTATTTTTAATTTAAATTAAAAACATCTTTGTTTTAAAACTCATCCAATAGATGTCGCTATTTTATTAATTAGAGACTCAGTTGTTTTTTTTTAAGTTAGATTATATCAAAGGCATTACTTCAACTCATTACAAATTTATATACGTTTATTTTAATTAATTTGATACAAATAAGGTCATATAGCCCACAGATTCATACACATATAATTTCAAAACGCGTTGCCTACTAAATTCAGCCACGGACCTACAATTTTTTTAAGGCGGAGCAAATACTAAAAAATTTCACTCTCGCCATTAATTTTATTTGCCTTTCAGATTTATTATATGATGAAATTAAGGTAACTTATCAGTTTCAATTAATCTATACATTGAAAATTTTGCCTGAATTTACCACTTAAGACATGGACCGCCTAGATTTCAGTCTAACTAAATGGTACGTACCTATTGTTAGCAAAGTGTTGGGGCGTGTAGTGATAGAGTGGTGAGTTGGAGTCAATGACGTGCAACAAGGTGACCGGCCACAGCAGGAACTGTCGCTGCTGCAGCGGCAGTGCTCGCGACAAGTACCGCACCACCTCGCCCTCCTGAGTGCTGACCGTGAGTGCTATGTTACTCACTAAGTTGAGCCGGCAGACACAAGTTATATGGTATTCCCGTACCATAGACAAATGTGTTTTTAGTCGATGTATAATAATCCTTTGTTCTCATAAGTGCTGATATGTGTTGGTGTTGTCAACACAAAAAACTATATATTGTAAATTGCTATATAAAAACAATTGCTTTAAAAAAATATTTTTAAATAAGTTGGATGCATAGTATAGAAGAATGAAATATTTTATTTTCTTATACAAATTCTTCTGTCTACAAAATCCATTTCTCTTTCCGTTCTTTTTGCCAGAATATCTGGACATTACGTTTGAGATGAATAGACAAAAAGTGACCAAAAGTAGGCAGAATTGCTATCCAATCCATGTAACACTGTGATAATATTCTCCTACTAGTGGTCGCCCGCGACTCCGTCCGCGCGGAATTTAAAACAATTAGTAGCCCACGTGTTCTTTCAGAATATGTTCATGTATGCCAAATTTCCGCGAGATCCAAGAAGCATCATCAAAACATTCGCATGTTATTAATATTATAAATGCGAAAATTTGAGTAGATGGATGTTAATTAGAAAGTAACTCCAGAATGGCTGCATAAATCTCTGTGAAATTTTTCATAGCTGTAGAACATAGTCTGAAAGAACACATAGGCTACTAATTGTTATTTTTTCTTAATTCCTTGTGGACGGAGTCTCGGGCGACAGCTAGTTTATAATATTAGTAAGATATGCATTACCGGTACGTGGTGATAAAGTGCGCGGTGAATTCAGAGCTGATGATGTGGTCATAGTTGAGGTCCCAGGCGCGGAACATGAGGCACAGCTTGCCGTCGCGCAACGAAACCTGAAACCGTACAATATTCCAAAGCTCCTATGTTACCTATCAGATATTTGTATTGCATATCATATATTAACAGTGGTAGAGCTCGCTTTAACATCTTCGCAGGAATTGTCCCGGCGTCAAGTGCGAAGCTATTCCAACTGCAGTCTGATGTATGTTCCCAGAATTTTAGTCCTCTTTCTCTTCCCAACTTTTGGTTTTAACAGTTGAGAGGATGCATGGGAAGGGAAAATATTCTCTTTCTGTGCATCCCCTCCTCCGTTGATTAAACGCATCTGCAATTGCGTAGTATGAATCTTGTCAGTATATAGTCTGACAAGAGACGTGACACAACTGTCAGCTAAATATTAATTTAAAGAATCTAGATGCATATCCTTCGGCAGCATAATTAGTAGCCTATGCGATCTTCTAAACTATGCTCTACATGTGTGCCAAATTTCATTGTGATCCATGCAGACGTTCTAAAGATATCTTCTAAGAAACATCCATACATACATCCAAACATTTGCATTTATAATATTAGTAAGTTATATTATACGTAAGCATCGGTGGCTCAGTGGTCAAGCACTTGACTTGCAATCTGCAGGTCCTGTGTTCGAATCCCGCCATGTACCAATGTGTTTTTCCATTTCCGATTTACATATGTACATTTATCCGACGTTCTTACGGTGAAGGAAAACATCGTGATGCTGCACATATCTGAGAAGAAATTCAAAGATATGTGTGAAGTCAACTAACCCGCACTTGGCCAGCATGGTTGACTATGGCCTAATCACCCTTAACTTAGGGTAGGCTCCGAGCCCCTCGGTGGGGGCTTGTAGTGAGCTGATGATGATGATATCATACTTACAACAGCTTTCTTGCTGAAGCCAACGCCATCTCTTGACAGTTTCTCAGGTCTGGTCAGCTTCGCGTACACCACGCAAGTCAGAACACCAGATAAACCAGTGCCCAGGATTAACTGGATTATGATAATATATATTTCACCATAAATTAACTTACTTATTATTCGGAGAAAGAAAAAAACGTTTAGACATAAGTATAATATGTTAAAATGCATTTTGAGAAAATAATCCACGGGTTCTTTGAATAAATTAAATTTTTTTACTTTTAATTGTGTTATTATAAAGCTCGTTACAATACTCAATAATATTATAAATAATTGTTGGTTTCTGAGACCAACATCTCAGTCATCTTTGACAAAACATGGTTATCAATATCTTTTATATAGAGATTTTGGTTTCAGAAAACCACGATTAAAACATACCTGCATTATGAAGAGAAATATCGATTCAGGACATTCTTCGTCAATAGCTCGATCTCCGAAACCTATTGTCGTCTGAAATAGGTAAAAATATTATAAACTAGTTGTCGCCAGCGACTCCGTCCGCGCGGGACTAAAAAAAAAGATTCCTAAAAGGTTTTCCACTTTTAAACTTTTCCTAGACCACCACGAACATTTCAAGACCAAGATAAGATAAATCCGTTCAGCCGTTCTCGAGTTTTAGCGAGACTCGTTAGTCTCGTCAACAGCAATTGATTTTTATATTAAGATATATAAACTTAACAAGTTTATTGCCAACACAAATGGACAAAGTTGTACGTAAATTTTGCTACATTTTTTCCCTTTAAATTCGAGTGATTCAAAAGTCTTTTTCTCACGCATTTTAACCCAGTTAATGTCAAATTAAAGGAAAGAGTTTGTTAATGTAAGTTTGACACGCGTGGGTTTATCTGGGACTCGAGGAAACTATAGAGTTATGCATGTATGTAACTGAGGACCTTAAGACATGGTCTATTATACTAGTATTTAGGATTATAACCTAATTTTGATGAAAGCGTTTGTGAGTTTTATAATTGACAAGGATAAGGCTATCGATACTAAGTAGAGATTTTCTTTTAGAAGAAATTTTACTGGAACAGCAAGAAGCAAAACCTTTCAAATTACTTAAAATTACGATAATTTCTAAGAAATATTTGTTTTAATTTTAGTTTATAATTTTGTAGTTTTTATTATACCAAAATGAATAGTCATCCCTTGTTTGTAAAAATACGATGTTTTCTTTGGATGTGTTACTTCAAGATGTTTCAACTTTCTAAACATACGAATGAATAACAATTGGTTGGTCGTTTAAGGAAATCGTCGGCAACCGTTGTTGTGAAAGACGCGCAATTTGCTTCAATAAGGCAGATTGTTACCTCAATCAGTCGTCGCGTCCGCTCGCTAATGTTCATTTCTGACGCTTCTATAATTGACATTCCGGGAATTAAACGAAAATTGATTACCTTTGTTCGACGTAATAGTAACAGCAGGCTAATTTATACTAATATGTATAAGCCGACCCATATTTATTCGTCAGACGTAGCTTGTTGAGTACAGAATTATGCGTCCCATTTCGTTTATAGACGAGGAGACTGTAGACTCTTAAACACGTTCGTTTTTAATAAAATTATAATAATACTATAAACATATTTACAACAATAATTAAATCTAACGATAATAAATACATCTCGTCGTCGTCGATTTCCCGCGCGATTCTCTTCACTTATCCTTTTCTTAATGTAAAAGGCAAAGGTTTTGTTGACAGTATGCCACCTCTTTGGCAGAATGCAAACTTCATGTGTACCAAAGAGATTGGATACACAATTCTGTTGCGTAGTAATTGTTTTTTTTTGTTTTCGATTGGTTCTTAAGATTAATCAAAAATTGTACAATTAAGGATGTAAAAGAATAAATATATCTATTTTGCTTTTACACGCGACTTTCTTATTTCGATTACTTTCCTAAAAAGAAATTTAAGAGTGTAATATTCGATATTTTATTGACGGAAGAATTGTTTTAATCAATTTTAGTGATGTATTATTACAAGCTAAGTTTAAACATTCATCCTGCAGATATCCTGCACATTGTGAGCGATGATGCGACAACAATACGTGTCGTTATCTCATCAAGTTTTAGATTGCAACAAATAATGCAGCCAAATTGTACAATAAGCCGTGTAGAAATAATTCATCACACTATAGATATTTTTAGTTCTTCACAGATGGCGTTGTTACTAAAACCTTAAGGCCGTTGTGTTAATTTTATTTGTTGTGTTTAAAATGTTATTTTAACTTTTATTACATACTAGTCGTCTACCGCGACAACGTAAGTGCAGAATTAAAAAAGGAAGAAAATATACCATGCCTGCGATCATCAGTTACCTTCCGATCAAAGTCCTAGCAAAATCGGTCCACCCGTTCCGGAGATAAACCGGAAGAAACACAGCTTTGCACACAGACAGACTGACAGATAAAAAAATTTAAAATTGGTGTTTCGTTGTCAGCAACTTAAATACTTATTATTAAATCTTTCTAGGTAATGTACTAATATTATAAATGCGAATGTTTAGATGGATGGATGTTTGTTTGAAGGCATCTCCTGAACGGCTGAACGGATCTCGCTGACATTTGATATACATGTAGAACGTACCCTGGAAAAACACATAAGGTACTTTTTTTTTATTCCGAGCGGACGGAGTCGGGGGCTACAGCTAGTATTACATACACAAAATCCAATTTCTAAATTTATTAATATAGATTACTTATAAACTGACCTGAGCTTCAACAGAAGCAAGAAATATAGTGACGAAGTCCTTGCCGCCGGTGACACAGCTTCGCGATGGCGGGTCTGGCTCGAAGTCGTAGTGCGCCAGCGCTGTCACATACCAGAAGACAGCGAACACAAGCCAGATAGCGAAGTGGACCACTACTGTACCTATCACGATCCAACGCCAGCGCAGATTGATCTAGCAATAAGAAAACGTTACTTAAATCGAAGGGGGTCTTTAAAAATTGGTATGGAGACATGGTACAAAAATTAAAAAAAAAAGAAGCACTAACGAACACAAGTAATAAAATAATTTCATGAATAACTAACTTCGAAAGACTGAAAACTCTCTTCGTTCTTTAATATATCTATATTTTACAATTATTGTTATTTGGGAATAGGTGTCTGCCGAGGTAAATTAGTGATCTATAGTGAATATCTGAGATGGTTCTTCTTAAAAATAGGACCAAAAATATCTTTCGAATAAAAAAGTATTATGAAAATTTGACAGCCAGCAACGGAGTTATGAAGTTAAAAACATACAGACAAATTGAGAACCTCCACCTTTTTAGTGTCGGTTTTAAAAGAAAGGCTACACAAAAGTCGAAAGACAATTAAAGTATTCGTTCGATTACGTCTTTCTTATTATAATTGTGACATTGTCTTAAAGTTTTCAGTTTTTAAAATGTACATATTATGTAATATACGATATGAAATAACTTACCAATGTATGGAACGTATCATTTAACAGTCGAATCTTCTCGAAAGGTACGTTAGAGATGAGAGCCACATTCTCCACTCCATTCTTAGAGACCAAACGTTTGGGAAAGTCACCGTAAGCCGTGCGATTGCGGAAGAAAGGCTGATGTTTCGTACTGAAAATTGTATTAAACATAACAAAAGAGTTCAAATAATGATTCCTATTGAATTACAAAAAGATTATGTGTCTGTACAGATGTTTCGATAGTGAAAACTCATCGATAGATAATATCCTCCCATTTTAGTCCTCTTTCCCGTCCCACCCTTTTTATAAGGAAAGGATGGGATGTGGAAGTGGACATGCCGGATGAAAGGATGCATGGGAAGGGAAAATATTTTCTTTCTGTACATCCTCTCCTCCGTCGATTAAAGGCAACGCATGTGCAATTGCGTATGTCTATGGGCTACGGCTCGTTTGCCATCTTATGATAAAAAAATACAGTTTTCTGTTTTGTGTATCAATAGCGAGGCGTTTAATGTTTCGGCAAATAAATTAACAATTTATTCTTTTGGTTTTTTGATTTAATTTTCTTTATCTCTTAATCCCTTATCCCCAAGTTCGAATATTTGGAGGTATCAATGGACGTTTGTTATAAGGTATCTCGCTGGAATTTGGCATACATGTAGAACATAACCTGGAAGAACACATTGACTACTAATTAAGTTCATTTTAATTCCGCGCGGAAATAGTCGCGGGTGACTTTTTATAATAATAAAAAAGAACGTACTAATAAAAAGATTTCACGAGATCAGTACGACTTAAGGAATTAACATAAAGTAAAGAATTCCGTCCAAATGACGCGAACAAACTTATAGTAAACAAGAAATAAGACAATAAGCAAATAAACGCATTGCGCGAACACTCTGCCACAGATATAAAACACAAATACTGGAAATGGCTAATTTATTACGTCAAGAGATATTGCATTATATATGCGTTTATTTCCTTTTAACTAGTTTTTTTTCGCTAGAAGAGACCTTTTTTAATTTTATTATTATTTAATTAATCGTTGCATTATGTCCGTCAGATCATACTATTCTCCATTTTTATGAGTCGAGTCTTAGAAGTGACATTACTACAGTCAACCACGCTGACAAAGAATTTCTTCATATATGTAGGTTCCATTTTTTTCCTTCTCCGTAATTTCTTAAGGTGAAGGAAAACTTGCACTATGTCATTAATATGGACAAGCCTACCAAGAGTTATATAGATTTTACGTATAATATTTTTTAAACCTTATTGCTTTAAATTACGCGCCTTAACTAAGTCGTCGTAATGCCGGTGTTTGATGACAAGATTACGTTTGTTTATTTTAACATAATTGATGGAGATATTATAGAATTTTCACGTAACAAAAACTATCATTTTAATAAATAAAGCGAATACTTTGTACCAACTTTTAAAATATAAACTAGCTTATGTGTCCTTCCAGACAATATTCTACATCTATGCCAAATTTCTGCGAGATACATGCAGCCGTTTTGGAGATACCTTCTAACAAACATCCATGCATCTAAACTTTCTTATTTACCTAACGTATTCATTTATTTATCATATTTTTAATATAGTACATTTCATGTCCAAAAAATATATATATACAAAACTTATTAAATTAAAAATAGAGCACCATCGGCTGCGAAATCCCATGACTCAAACAACCAGTGGTCATTGCTGCAGAGACAGGAACCTTCTCACGAAGCGCGCGGTTTCTAAGATAACTGCCTTTTGTATCGGGCTCTTAATCCAACTGTTTAGCGAGAGCTTCTTGAGATGTTGGTCTTCGATATATTAACATTAGTAATATTATTAAGATATGATCTAACGAGCTAATTAACTCTGTACTTACTCATTCATAAATCTATGGTTCTCAGTCGGTGGTTTCTTCAAGTAGTTCTTAATAGGCAAATGATTTTCAATTATTTTTTCATCATCGCGTTTCAAATTTAAACTATTATTACTCTGTGTTATTATAATTTTAGGTAATTGTTGTGATAATTTTCTTAATCTTTCCGATTTAGTTTCACTTGAATTCAAACTTTCCATTGATTTTAATTCATTAATAACTTTAAAACCTATTTCTGGATGACTTACATCTATTTCTTTATCATCTGATGAATCAACAGTTTCGTAATCATTTTCATCTCTTTCTTTGTATTTAGATTTCTCCAAATAATCTAAACACTCATCGTAAAGTTGATTTAATTTTATATAATCATTGTCAACTTCTAACAAAGGTTCTAAAGTCATTTTTAGATTTTAAAGCGTACACTCTTCTTTATGTATCAACACAAAATTCCTTTAAACGCACTTTATTTTCTTCACTAAACGTATGTCAGTTGCGCGACATCTCAGACTCGTAGAGACGCCATTTCTGGTTGAGGCTTGAACGATATCTGCACGTTATCTATGTTAATTGACCAACCTAAGCTGACGTGACCTTGTCGGGATAAAGCGGTACATTCTGCAACGTCTAATCTATAATAAACAAAACTGTACGTTGTAGGAAGTATTCTAGGTGGATTACTATGAAGATTTATACTACGAAACTACTTTTTTTCTGTAATTAAATAAATTATTAATTACTTAATACTCTGATATAACAGTTATTGTTTCAATTAGTCGTATAAATAAATCAAATACATTTCATATTTACGAAAAAATCAATATGTGTGAAGCACTGACCTCTATACATGCACAGGCTATAAACTGCCGTGAAGCGCCAATAGCCTAATGGTTAAGGGTACGGATATCCAATCACGAGGTCGGGGGTTCGAATCCCGCCATTTGACTATTGTCGTAAACCATATCCTAGCACAAGCATAGAGCTTAGTTGGAATGGTAAAAGAAATATTAGTAAATTTACAAAAAAATCTGCTAATATATTAATTTAAAAAAAACGTGGTACTTTGTGCCTTTTTGATTTGCTTATTTTGGCGTTGACGGTTGTCCTTGGTAACGGTGGTGAAGATTCGAACTAATGATAGATAAAGTATTAACTGTCAGGAATTTTCACAGACGTACTTTAGTCAGAACGAAGCAGAAGCATTTCGACGGAAGGACCTAACAATTCGTAGAGATCAGTGTTGTAAAGTCAACCCTCACTGGGCCAGCGTACTTGAGACCTAGCCATCCATATAGTAGGCTCAAATCCCGACAATGACATGTATTAGTTAACGGCGAAAAATAAATAGGTTTAATGTCTCTATTTAATGTGGATTGCAGAATAACGCTTCAACAACACTCGGGTTTGGAATTAAAGTTACCGGTCATCCGCTAAATGCCTTATAATACTGTTTGACTGTTACACTTTATGATGTTTTTAACATTATCACATATGAGAAAAGAGTAAAGAAAAAAAGTACAGGACAAAATATTGTGTAAAATGTCACAAGTGTCTTATGTGCGAATGTGGAATTGGCGGGAAATGTGTTCCAGGTCCGCGTCAAATGGAAGTTCGTACGTAGTCTGCCATTTAGTAAGAAGGCAAACATTATTATTAAGTTCAAACTTTAATTATTAGTTTTCGTCTATTCAATCCAGAATCTGTGAATAGGCTTGAACTTACTCTACAAGGGAAAGACGTAATCTTACTAATATAAATGCATGTATGTAGAAGGTATCTCCTGAACGGCTAAACAGATCTCGTTGAAATTTGCCATAGATGTAGAACATAATCTGGAAAAAACACATAGTCTACTAATTAAGTTTCTTTAACTACGAGTTCATGGAGTCGCGGGCAAAACTTAGTGTAACTGTAGGTGTAAATTAGACGTAACGGTTTTTGTTTCATTTCAAGGTCAATCATTCGCTCTCATCCATTCGAACAATTTTCATTACCGAAATACTGGCATATAAACATATAATAAAATACGTATTAATTTAATTATCTTATTTTTAATATAGTACATTTCATATCCAAATAAAATATATTTACAAAACATATTATATTGAAAACAGAACACCACCGGCTGCGGAATCCCATGACTCAAACAACCAGTGATCAGGGCTGCAGAGACAGGAACCTTTTCACGATGCGCGCGGTTTCTAGGATAATTGCATTTTGTATATCATTATTTTAACAAAGATAATGAAAGGAATAAGTTTGTTTTGCTAAAAATGTTTCGGCAGTGAAAACTAACGTCCTAAAAATGTTTTTTAGTTTTTTCTACTTTATCATTATGTAAAAATATTTAATTTTATTACGAAAAGGAATGTTATATGTATGTAATATTTTATTTACAGATTTAATTATAGTTGTATCTTGCATGTCTTATCAGTTTATCAAGACGGAAGCTTAGTCTTGTTAGTATCAATATTTGACGTGTCTACTTGCGAAGTGGTTAATAGTTTTTTAAAAAACAAAAAAAAAACATATTCCATAGTGCATAACACTTCACCTCTGCCTTCCAATTCTGCCAGAGTTGGCATACTGGTCATTAAACCTTTGCCTTTTTAATAATGAAAAAATTAAGTGAAAAAGAGGATAGAATCGCGCGGGAAATTTTAACAAAATGTAGTCGTGAATTAGTTGGCATTTTTTATGTAAATATTTAGTTTTATTATAAGGATTTTAGCAACGTAACTATAAACATTGTCAACTACGCTGGCTGTGTGCGGATTTATTTCATCATCAGCTTACTATACGTCCCCACCGAGGGGCTCGGAGCCTACCCTAAGTTAAGGGTGATTAGGCCATAGTCAACCACGCTGGTCAAGTACGTGTCGGTTGACTTCACACATATCTTGGAATTTCTACTCAGATATGTGCAGCATCACGATGTTTTCCTTCACCGTAATAACGTCGGATAAATGTATATATGTAAATCGAAAATCGAAAAACACATTGGTACATGGCGGGATTCGAACCCAGGACCTGCAGATTGCAAATCACCGACGCTCTCGGACAGTAAAATGTTGCCTAAGAACTATAATTTAGCAGTTTTTTTTGTTGCTGTTTCTTGTTTTCAATTTAATAGAGAATCGGAGCATCAAATGATATTTACAAGGGTAGGTAAATAACGTCCTTGACTGCACCAATTTTACTTTCATATTGTGTCTTAATTTGTTATAGAACTAATGTAATAAAATAACATATAACCACTTTATAAATATTTATTTCTTCATATATAGTTAACTATAAGGTAAATAACATGGTGTTCTTTACGATTACATATAGTTTAAAATAGGTCGTAGAGTTTCAAATGTACAGACTGGATATTATGTAAAATAAATCAAGATTTCAACTATATTGATGCCAACTCTTAATGTAAATGGATAAACATGTCTAAAACATTTCAAAACTCTATATTTTTACTAACATTTTGACATTGTTTTGTAAATAAAGCATCTATTAAAATAAGCTTAATCGTTATATGTAATTGGGGCAAGATGAAAATTCATTAAGTTATTTTGTAGTAATTTAGTTAATTAAAAATGTAGATTTTAATAATACTAGCTGTCGCCCGCGACTCCGTCCGCGTGGATATACAAAAAAACTTAATTAGTGTAGCCCACCCATCCATCCATCCACATCACATCCATCTAAACATTCGCATTTATAATATTAGTAACTTAAATAAAAAGCAACTCTTCAAGGCATAAATTCGAAAAAAAAGAATAAATAGTATCCTATGTCCGTCTCCTGGCTCTAAGCTACCTCCTCACCAATTTCAGGCATATCGGTAAAGTCGTTCTTGACTTATAAATAGTGTAACTAACACGACTTTCTTTTATATAATATATAGATTATGTCTGAACTGAACACTTATTTTTTTTGTAAATAAAAACGATTTAATAGCATTTGTAATAAATATCTTACGAGCTAATATGCGTCTTTTATTTTTTTGTACACGATAAATAGCAGTAATTAGTAAAAATTAGGAATTATTTATAATTCTACAGATATGTTATTGACTTTTACAATGGCAGTGCGTAACAGTGAGCCTTTGTCTTAAAAAAAACTGAAGCTACCTTCGTCCTTGTCTTACATCAACATTTCTATCTCTTTCACACATCAAGCATATGTTTCGTTTTTGCTATTTGTTAGGAAAATGTACTAAATCTAATTATTGAAGGAATTTGGCATCTACAGTATTATTTTAAATTAGTATACATAGGTTATTTTTTATTTGGGTTTATAATTTGAATAATGTTTTTTCGAGAATATTCTTTAATGGCACTTGATTACATTTTGGTAAATAGATGAATTTAGTAAACTATTTTAATATTTAAATACGACTTAAATTGGGGCTTTTTCTATTTTAAATATATTAAAGTGGTTAAGCACTGATTCTGTAATTAAAAATAATAGTTCCCTCCAAATTTACGGATAACCTCAATGACCTCTATTTAGGTTATTCGTTCCTAATCACAAAAGTAAAATTCAATTTTAATTTGAATAATCGGTAAGATAATTTCACAAATATTTGAATCTGTATTACTATTTATATTTGTGATTTAATTCATTTAATTATGGTTTTCAAACTACACTTAATTTAGTAAAATGTCTTACCTACAACAACAATGTTACCCTATAAAACAATTATTTAATTATTTTTACATTTTATAATTATTATTTTTAATTTTATAATTATATTTTATTGAAATCTAATTTGTAAGTATTTTAAATGGACAATAATATTTTAAATCTGTTAGTTTTAAAGATTTGTTTTTTCTTTAATTATTTTTATAGTTACTTTATATATATTCTTATTTTAAAAATTTTGCCGCGAATTATCATTAGTTTTGACAGTTCTGTATTTGCTTTTAAAGTTTTTATTTAGTTGTTAATGGCAACGTAAATGAAAATGAACCAATTTTGTGTTTGTGCGAGCTATTAAAATAAATAATTCATAAATTAAACAGAAAAGTCAAAGAGTAAATAGAGGTTAGTTAATAGAGTAAAGAAATTAAGAAGTCGAGTTTTTTTTAGAGACGAACATAATTATAAATTTTTTTTTTACTTAAAAGGACTGCGTAAATTAAATTTAAATGTGCAGATTAAAAATTCAAATGTCGAAAGTAAATTTCACAACCTTTTATAATTACGTTAAAATACAATCAAGAAATAAAATTCTTATAGAAAATGATATGTAATTGATTTACTTTCTCTGTAAAAAAAAACCAATTATATTGTGCTTAAAACATTTCTTTCCAGATAAATTAAAAAAAAGAAAACAAAAAAATTAAGAAAAAAAAACAAAAATATAAAATTAATTTTTTATTTTCTAGAAAAAAAAATTTAAAAATCTAAACAATAATCAAAAATATAAAGAAATAATTTACAACAGGAGTTAGACTTTATATATAAAAATCACAACAATGGATAAATTTTAAATGTACTATAAATATCTTAACATAGTTTTGGTTCTGTATGTTATGCTCACGACATATACAATACGGGGTAAACAGAGACGTAACTTGAGAAAATTGTATTATACAAAGATTTTTGTCAAAAACAATTTAATCTTAGTAATAATTGTAGAAAATAAGTTGATTTATTAACGAAAAATCATTAAAATATAATTATACATAATTATACACAATTATACATAATTATACAAAATTATACACGACATAAAATTAATAAACAATGGATACAACATATAAAAAAGCTAAATAAAAAAGTTGTGCTTTTTTTTCTGAAACATTTTAAAATAGACTAGTATATATCATCTATACTATATTAAATTATTTTTAATACCTAACCGTGGGTCTCTGTATAAAATATATCGTCATCCCTGTCATTATCACTGACAAAACAGAGATAGCAATATATTTTAAACGGAGATTTTGGACTCCGTAACCCACAGTAAAAGTAAAATGGCATACAATATTTTAAAATCCTCACTGTTCTTTTTTTAAATAAATTTTAAATACCTAAGAGTTTATAAAACTGTTTGCTTTGGTTTACTGATAAAAAAAAAACTAAAACGTCACATTAGAGTCAAAAATGCCAATATGTTTAAAAATTAAATTATAACCTCAAAGTTAACGATGTTTATGTCAAATATTATTTGCTTTGGCATTTTAATATTAATCCATTGTAATTTTAATATGAAAATATACTCAAGTTAATTGTTATAAAGTATAATATGTATGTACGTTCATATGCACTAATATATAAATCACATATTTATCTTAAACTTAAACCTATACTGTGGTCACCTTTTATACAATTTCGATCTTATTACAATCACTTATGGCACAAATTTATTTGTACCGGAGATATACGTTGTTCGGTGCACATGTACCTAATTATATTACCTTTTGGTCAGCCTCACACGTAAATATCCTTTGGAGTGATGTGCCTGTTGCTGAAATAAATAATCTATTAAATTTCTATTTATTTGTATAGTCCGTTCGCGTTAAGACAATTGTAGGTGATACCAACATGATACCAACTACAGTGTAAAGGTGTATTCACATTGGAGTAAAAATTGTAATAAACATTTTATATTACGCGTCTCTCTCCGCTATATTATTGATCCACTTTCGAATATTCATTTTCAGAATTTCAACAGTGGTAGAGCTCGCTTTAACATGTTCGCACGAATCGGCCCGGCTCGCCCGGTGAAATACCACGACCACACAGAAGACACGCCTCAAGTGGAAGATATTCCAACTACAGTCTGATGAGTGTGCGTCTCGGAGGTCTAATTTAATCCTCTTTCCCTTCCCATCCTTTTCTTTATAAGGAAAGGATGGGAAGTGGAAGTTGACTTTCCGGATGAGAGGATGCATGGAAAGGGAAGATATTTTCTTTCTTTGCATCCTCTCCTCCGTCGATTAAAGGTAGGCAAGGCATATGCAATTGCGTATGTCTACGAGCAACGGTCACTTCGCTATTTCATCGATTTCAGGTGACCGCTCGCTCGTTTGCCATCTTATGATATAAAAAAAATAATAATAATGTTGAACGAGTAACACGCAAAATACACAACCGTTTTGTTCAAAGGTCTGACTTCAAGTGGTCACTGAGAACTCGACTTTCTAATTTCTTGCATTTTAATTGTCTTCGGGGCGTGGCCAGGTCGGTGGACAACGATAACTCACTATTTTCTTAACGCGAACGGACTAGTTTTAGTTAATATTAATTATATAAAACGCCAATAGCCTAATGGTTAAGGATACGGATTTCCGATCAGGTGGTCGGGGTTTCAAATCCCGTCATTAGACTATTCTAAACTAGTCCTAGTACAAGTATAGAGTTTAATTGGAATGGTACAAGAAATATTAGTAAATTAACAAAAATCTACTCATATTTTACTTAAAAATTAAAAAAAAGGAAAAACGTGAATATTATTTTCATGGAAAACGTTAGGCAAATTTCGTTACATGAGAGAGAAGAAAGATATAACATATAAGGCGTTAGAGTGAGACAGTATTACATAACACAAGCGCGCTTTATGAATACACGTCACGGTAAATAAAAAATGAGTCTGATCTTGCTAATATTATAAATGCGAATGTTTAGATGGATGGATGGATGATAGGCATCTCTAAAATAGCTCAACGGATCTCGATGAAACTTGGCATAGAACACATAGGCTACAGGAGTCGTATGCGACAGCTAGTAAGCGAAATCTTACAATATAAATGCGATGCTATGGATGGATGGTTGGATGGATGTTTGTTAGAAGGTACATCCAGAACGCCAGGGATCTCAATGTAATTTGACTACATATAAAACATAGCCTGGACAAACACATAGACTACTATTTTTTTTTTATTCACGTATGAAGTTACAGGCGACAGCTAGTAAGCGATAAATGGTAAATAATAAAAAGCATACCAATTGAATAAAATACGATATTTTATGTAGCAGCTACACGTCACTAGTGTACCTGCAATCATTGTTACTGTTGAAAAGCAAAAAAAAAAACAACCTTTGACTACAATTGAGCGAAATGAAACCTTACCGTCATATATATAAAGTATAATTTAGCAAAGCAAAGAAAGTTGGTAGCCATAACCATTTGCTATTTAAGCCAATGAAATAGCTAAAGCTAAATGAAAAGAGACATTATGTGATTAGAAATATATGACATATCACTTTTTAAATGATAATATTTGCGTAAATATATTTTGTGTAACTTTATGAATAAGCTGTATTGTGTTTTTTATCTTCAGCACAGTGTCATGTTTATATTTACCTATTTCTAGCATCAGCCACTTCATCATCAGAGTCAAGGCCGTAGCCATCATCTGCCAGGTAGTTCTTATTCGCATACCCGCCCAGGTCCACTGAAATTACATTACAAAGTCAAGTGTCAGAATGATTAGTGAGGGAACACAAACGTGGACATTTTAGTAAGGCTAGTTTAGTCTAGTTCCAGTACACCGGCACTGTGTCGGAAGAAGTTTCTAGCAGCATTACCTCTGGTGGAGTCAAGGTAGGTGTTGTGTGCCCACTTGTAGTCCTGCTCATAGAGCGGCGGCAGAGTCTGGTGCGGAGTGGGGTACAGGTCCAGACCGCGCTTCTCCTGGATACTGTCTGAATCACTGAACCTTGGCATCCTGGAAAGAAAAACGGCGACATGAATTCACCGAAATAACGAAGCCACTGCCCATAGATATTCACAATTGCAGAAGGATGAGACGCACAGAAAAAGGATATTTCACTTTTCTATGCATCCTCCATCATATCCTCTTCCCTTTAAGAAAAGAATAAGAAAGGAAAAAGGATTAAAGTTAGACCTCCGGAACACACACTCATCAGACTACGAAGAATCATCTCCATTTGAGGCGTGTCTTGTGTGATCGTGGTATTCAAACGGGCGATGTTAAATCGGGCTTTACCTCTGTTACTGAGTGACAAAGAGATTCTCTGATTAGGGTATGTATGAGCTGATCTAGACATAATTTATTCCAACTAACCTGGAGTAATCCTCGAAACAGCTGAACCTCCAGAGCGCAAAGGCGAGCATGGCGACAGAGATGGCCACACCGCAGCCGATCACCAGCCACACCATCAGTACGCCTTTGTCGTTTGGCACCTGGTACTCCTGCAAGAAGACCATGATAGATTAGTTTCCGGTCATAAGTGGTCTAAAGATAAGTCCACTTATGACCACTTGAAAATAAAGACCACTTTAGCCCAATGTAAATATAACAAGCTGTCGTTTCTACATTGTCGCGCTAGTTCAAATAGTGCATTGGTCTTCGGTGTTATTGTTTAATGCGATATCTATTTACGAATTAAAACGACGCTGTACGAGTAGCTGCGAAAATGTGTCGATTTCCTACGATATTGAAATTCACAAGACAGGAGACAAGAAAATCCTATGTAAAAATTATTTCCTCCCCAATTCGTATTAACATTCTCAAGTTTGTTGAATGTTTACATCGATGGATCGATAGATGTTTGTTTAAAGGTATCTCCTGAACAGCTCAACGGATCTCGCTGAAATCTGGCATAGATTTAGAACATAGTCTGGAAGAACACATAGACTACTTATTAGGCTTTTTTTTTAATACCGCACGGACGGAGTCGCGGGCGACAGCTTGTTTAAAATAAGTGTACTAACCGTAATACCCATTCTCCTGAGCCGAGCAGCGAAAGGATCTTGATCGAAGTAAGTCTGCCACATGTTGGTGAGGTCCTCCTCGTTCAGCCTGGGCTCCTGGTCATCATCATACTCCAAGGATACGCCAAACTTGATCTCCACGCATTGTTCGAACTTGGGCCAGTTGTGGAAGCACTGCGCCCTGCTTACAATCTGTGTGGCTTCTAACCTGCAAATTGAAACATATGAGTTGTGAAAATATTGTACTGAAGTGGACAATAAGATATCCCCGTAAGAGACATTTGCTAATTCCAATATCGTATTCGTAATTATGTGCCAAATTCAATTGTAACAAGTTTGCTTAAAGTGGCTTTTGACTTACGTTCTTTTCTAATTGGTGGAAAATCTAAATGACAGTAGCCAGAACTTTTGAATAACTGGCATCAATCAACTCCCACCATTTATTTTGATTTGATATATTTGAATGTATTAAAATAAACTCGATCTGTTTTTATTACTGAATAATGCCAGTTCATTTTTTCAAAATAAATCGAACGTTATTTAAAAACAAATTGAATGCGCAAACAATTTTGCGACGCAGTTTATTTTAGTTTAACATTCGGCGTCGTTCCGTCGGCCTGAATCCCGCAGCACTTGGCACTTTGCCAAATGAGATACCATCGCCGTTTTGCGCACACCTGCATAACTGTCTCTGCCCGTTGCTCATTGCGACTCTGCACTATTTTTTTAATTCTCTATTCCAAACACGCCAACGTTCTTTGGAACTGGCACAAAAGAAAAACAATAACCCTAAAAGTCATTATAGTTATTTGAAATCGCGCCAAATCTGCTGTCAAAACGTCATTATGTTTGTGAACGTTCTGAAAGTTAATTTGTTTTTAATTAATGTTCATTGGCGTGTCACTTTTTCAGTTGAAAAATTAAAATTATTTACGAGTATTTCGTAATTATAACACCATTTTAGTTTCTTTGTTGCGTCAAAAAAGAAAAATATACGCTTAAGTTAAATGTTGAAATCGCGCCAAAACTACGAGAATGGGTATCGAAGCCAAAATATAATTAGGTTTATAACCTAAGAGTTTTGAAAGTTCTGACAGGTTAATTATTACTTTTATTATTATTGTTTAGGCTAAATATTAAATAAAGCATATCCTATATTTATTGTGTGTTTATTATATTTACCTTTACCATATTGTCTGATAGAAACGAAATTATTTTTCCTTTGGCAACGTCATGCGCACTGTTTGCGGAACGGAAATTGCGCCGGTAGAGGATGAGAAAAATAAAATTACTAAATATTGCTATTCCGCAAGTTACGCTACGCTTATTTATTAGTTTTTAAACCAATTTTATATCTAAACTAAATATAAAGGAGGCTCTTTATTAAATGTCATCTTACCAGTTCGGAAATAACCCTGACGCTAAAAGATTTTGAACAAGATAACCGGCAAGAACAACCTAACAGCTTTAAAAAAAATCTTTTTCGTTACATTTTGTACGAACAGTGTGAGGAGTAGATAATTTGGATTTTTTAAATAATAAATTGATTAATAAAATGTGTTTCATTAACCGTGAGTTTCTGAAACCAAAATTTCCACTTAAAACATATTTTTATTTCTATTTTATCAAAGATAATGACAAGGATGACGATATATTTTATACAGAGATTTTCATCTCAGAAATTCAGTAAGGGACGATTCTAGTGGTCCTAACAAGTGTGTTGCATTAAGTAGTAGTAGGATTGATCGTCTGTGACTCACGGGTTAAGCACTTGACTTGCAATCTGCAGGTCCTGGGTTCGAATCCCGCCATGTACTAATGTGTTTTTCGATTTCCGATTTACATATGTACATTTATCCGACGTTCTTACGATAAAGGAAAACATCGTGATGCTGTACATACCTGAGAAGAAATTCAAAGATATGTGTGAAGTCAACCAACCCGTATTAGGCCAGCGTGGTTGAATATGGCCTAGTAAAGCCTAACTTAGGCTCCGAGCCCCTCGGTGTGGACGTATAGTAAGCTGATGATGAGAGATGATAATATACAAAAAAATCTCAACAACAAAGCAATTGGAGATATAATATGACCATGAAAAGTGCATTGAGCTAAAAATAAAGAGAATCGGTTTGTGGTATCGCCAGTACTCGTATGTTAAACATATACATCGACCTTCCGACGATAATGTCTATGTTACAATTTATTTAATGACGCACTTTACTTCATGATATTTTTAACAAATTGACAAATGATTCATTATGTTTATAAACTTTGAGTTATAAACTAAGAAATTCTCAGAGGTTATCAAATATATAGTTCGATAAACATATCTGACCCGGAGAAAGATACTGTTATGAAGGTTAGTTCTATTAGAATACGTAAAACGCACTTAAGTATAAAATTACATAAAAAAAACATGACGTCAGCTTTTGTACAAGGATCTTTCGACAGTTTTTTGAATCGAAAGGCTATTGCAATTTAGAATCAAGCCCACATGTCAGATAAGTGTCAATCTATACGTTAGATAAAAAAAAACAGATTTAGGCAACGACTACTAAACAATTCTGCCAGAAAATTTCTCTTAAACTTGTTTGTTTACATTATGCCAGTATATTAGGACAGTAGCAGCAGTAGTAAACACCAACTGGAGCCAGTGAGCCCTCATTGTCTATGCCAGGCAGGCACTAGATGAAGTAAATCAGATTGATATAAAAAAACACTTACCAAAAGGTGCTGATGTAATTATCTTCTTACAATAAAATTCCTACATAACATTATAATATATTTTTCTATTTGAGACGGATTCTGCATAACTATTTTATTTAGTTATAATGACATCTATTAACGACTCTGTGTAATCATAGTTCAATAACCGCAGTCTTATTTTGAAATATTTACAACTTTTTATAATGCGATATGTTTAATTTGACCGGGGCAGGCCTCAGACGATGCCAAAGTCTGCATAACCTAAAATGCAGCGAAAAAAATCGTCTCTCCATGTCTCATACAAGTTTTTCTTCCGTAAATTTCACAGGAGCTTTGGATTCATCTTTAGATTCCACAGTTATGTTGGCAGAATCATTATTATTATCGCTATCTCTATCTTCTACTGTTATAACTGTTTCTATACTCTTCACTCCATTATTGTTGTTTGTCTGTTTATCTTCTTGTACGTTAAGGTCTACTTTCGTTTTACGTAACGCGCACGTCTCTATACAATCCTTGTTCTGCATTTGTGGATAATGGTGAAGTATAGCTGTCGTATTAAATGTTATTTTCCCGTACTTTACGTATTCTTTTGGCTTTTTTTGTATTTCTTGGCTTGTACTAGGTGCATAAAATTCATCACTAACTGGTGTATCTTTTAGTTTAACTTTATTATATTTGGGGCTGGATACATCAGTCTCGATAACATCTTTCGTATCTTCTATCAAATCTAAAGCGATTCTTTTACTTTTCTTAATGTTGTCCATGTAAGCGTTATATTTGTTCATATCTACAGTGTTGCTTTGTTTAAGCGGTAGCGAATTTGGCAATTTTTTCTGAGGTCTGTCCTCGGCCGAATATCACAATTGTTTCTGATCTGTTTGGCATTTCTTGAGTGTTGTGTCGGGGTTTGCCGCAGCGATGTCGCGTGCGGCGTTTGTTAGCTATGTTTGTGACTGCACCATTGAAATGCTGGTCGTCTCGGTGGCGATTGTCGGCGCTGGGAAATCGTCTCCTGTCGAATCGTATATCGGAAACTCGCAGCACAACACGCATTTCAAAAATTTCGGTACTTCAACGTAAATTGCCGGTGGTATCGGTATCAAGGGTGACGTGGACGCTTTATAATATAAGTAATCTGGGTTATCTCTATATTTCTCGTCGGCGGAACGCTCCAGCAAAGGAATTCCAGATAAAAATAATATAATTGTAGTCGTAAATAACGGTGATAATACCGCGATGTATTCTATACCTTCGATTACGTTTAGTGATATTATAAAAAGGCCCCACCAGAGGACGACTTCCCCAAAGTAATTCGGATGTCTGGAGAGACGCCAGAGGCCATCATTGCACCATCGACCTTGGTTGGCGGCTTCCTGTCTAAAGGCAAACTTTTGAAGATCCGCATAAGTTTCTATAAGCAATCCTATGACGAAAATTCCTGCTCCGGCGGAATCCAGTGTAGTCATAGTTTTAGGAGCTTTCGGAAATGAATGATGAGGGGAATTCATTATGATGACCGGTAGACTAACCACGTAGACCCAGACAGCTTGAAACGTATAGAATACGGCAAATCTTAGAGTATTACTTTTCCGATCTTCGAACTGTTTATCTCTTCCTATATGGTATATTCTGTATATAAGATAAATAGATAAACGTGCACCCCACACGCAGACGAAAGCGGTGACCATCAGCTGTCTGCTATCGTAGTTCTTGAGATGACTCCCGCCTTGACCGAGGAAGAATGTAAGGAGAGCTATTATGATAAAGTTGGCACCACCAGTGAAGTCTGTCACTTTATCGCTTTGGAATAACGAGGCGATTGTAAAGAATAGAATTTGCATAGCGACGGTGACCATTGCGCTTATCGCGAAGTTATTTCTATCTATTAGAGGCTCCATGTTTTTGTAAATTTGACACTGGATTTATTTGGCATCGGATAATACTGGCCGCGGATAAATGTGTCGCATTGCTGTTGACTTCCAAGTGGCTACATCACTCGCGTTTAACACAAATATTATGTCAGTACGTAATGCATTAAATATTATTGTTTTAACTCATGGAGCGCGTGGTGTATTATAAAAAGCGTTTGGTACGGCGAGCGTGGCACGCATTGAGGCATTCTACTGAAATAGATTTGACGTTTGGTTTCGCGCATGCGTCGAAGTTTTTAAAGCGCATGCGTGGAAAAGCTCTGCGGAGGGGAATTTTGATACGTCTAAACATTTATGTTGACGCAAAAGTGAGGAAACTGTTTATAATCTCAACAGTCGTTTACTAATATTATAAATGCGAAAGCTTAGATGAACGGATTTTAGGAGGTATCTCTAGAACGGCTAAACAGATCTCGATGAAATATGGCATACATATAGCTTATAGTCTGGAAGAACACATAGGCTAGTAATTACTTTTTTTTAATTCCGTGCGGACTGAGTCATGACCGACTGTTAGTTATATTATAAAGCCGATAGTTTTTAAACTTATTTAATTTAAGTTTGAAATTCTCGACAGTTTATTCAACTTTCTAAGTGGGCTTGTTATTATATTAAAAAAAAAGTTTAATAACGTCTTAATGTACACACTAACCAAATAGTATTCTTTTTAATCATGAGTCATTGATAAGTAAATCATTATGATTATTTCTGTTGTGGATTTAACAGGTAACATTTAAGCAAACATTTTCCTGCAAATTGAATCATTTAACCAATTCTATTAATTAATTTTAATAAAGATTTTAGGCTCTTAACCAACGATACTGCAATTCCCATGTATTTGAACACAAGATACGTAGCGCCATTAAAAAAAACTGTCATTACTACGCGAATTATAGATTAAAAAGCAACTTTTGTATGGCTATTGAATATATTTGAATGGGATATAAAAGATAGGTGTTTGTTTAGAAAGAGCCGCGTTTTGTTTGTGAATAGCATCCCATTTTGTGTTTGTAGGTTATGTGAGTCAAACTGGGTCAGTTGGCCACCTCTTTAACCCGACTAATTTAAAATGTATCATTACATCATTGGTTACCAAATAGATAAGGTGTACACTGGAAATTGTAGTGTTATATTTTAGGAATTTTATCAAATCGTAATGCGCCATTTTGATTGTATTTATCAAAATGACGAATTATTTTTTTTTTTATCTAATTTATTTTAATGTAATTTCATTAAGTGTTTTTAATTTAATTTTAGATTATTGTTTATTAATTTAGTTACTTAATTATTAGAAATTGCACAATTTTCTTATAATTCGTGAGACAAGCCGATTTTAAAATAATTGCTTTGTTAACAATTGTGATATTTTGTTATTTATCAATTGGGATTAAAAGTCTAGATCTAAGGATTTAGGTCGTAAAAAACAATGATAGTATTTACAATGTATGATAACACAAAGATATTGACAGATAATAAAGAACTTTTGTTTTTAATATGGCTGCAAATATTAAGATTTATATTCTGCCAGTATTAATATAAACACATATCTGCATCTCTTTCATACGTTTAGAAAAAATAGAGACAACAATAAAATTAGTAAAACAATGTAATATGTAATTATTTGCATTTGAGAGTTTCAACTGCGGTACATATTGCTGTCTCTATTTTGTCAAAGAGTATGAAAGAGATGACAATATGCAATAATCACTAAGCTAAATAAATGGATAGGTCAATGCTTGGAGACAGCTTTTGTTACGTTCAGACTTAAATACGCCTGTTGATGTTCCTGACAGTTAATTCTATGTCGAATATTAGTTCGAAATTACACCACCGTCACCAACCGCAACCGACACCGCCAAAAGGCGAAATTGAAATGGGCACAAAATACAACGTCTTATCACCTGTCCATGTATAGAGGTTATTCAAATGTCACTGTTGAGAAGTTTTATCTTACGAATATTTGGATGTATGGAAGGAAGTTTGTTAGAAGGTATCTCCACAACGGCAGCATGGATTTGGCTGAAATTTGGCATAGATATATAACATAGTCTGGAAGAACACATAGGCATTAGATATTTTTGTAAGTAAATATACTCACGTAGTATTAAGTCCGTGGTCGATGTTATTTGCATTGATATACATAGTAGCCATGTCCGCGATAATCTGGCGGAACTCCTCAACTTGTTGGTCGTTGAAATTGTCCAGATTTGTGCCTCCCAGGTTGAGAGTGATCATCGAATGTGGCAGAGGTCGAATCGGCTCAGGACTCGGCTCTGGTTCGTTGTCGAAGGTACTATGTCCTGAGGACAATTAAAAATATAATAATATACCTTATTTTAGTTCTTCCGCTTCCCACCTTTGTCTTCCGAGGCAAGGAAATACGATAGGGGATTTGACGTAGGAGGTCATGCATAGGAAGGAGAAATATTTTCTGTTTGTACGTTAGAAGTTTTGTGTGTAGTGTGTGCAGAATTAAAAATAAATTAGCCTATAATATGCCAGCGTGCAATCAGCTGCCTTCCAGTCAAATTTGCATCAAAATTGGTCCAACCGTTCCAAGGATTATTCGGAACAAACACGGCCTTGTGGACAGACAGACAGACAACAATTTTAAAAAAATAACTTTATCGTTATCAGCTACGTATATGTACGAAATATAAATTTTCTCTATAATTACATACAGACACTGATATTTTATTAATATAGATATATAGATATACTCACTAAGTATTTTGACGCTAAAACTGAAACCTCTCATGAACTGCATTCCAGGCTTCGCTTCGAAACGAACAAACATACGATTTACATCCAAAAAGAGATACTGACGCTTAGTGGCCAGGGTATAGGAGAATATTAGACCATTGTTATGTGATGAATCAACTCCACCTGTAAATAAGAATATTAACATGTAACAGGGTAGGCAGAGTCAAACAACATACATCTAGATAGATTTATGCACGTCACGTAAAAAGAAACAAATGAAGCGAAGGAGGTTTAATATATTTTTCTTTTTAATATAAATCTGATGCATGCAAGATTATCTCGACCGATACAAAAGACACGCTTGAAGGTAGTAATTCGACTTTAAATCTAATCTTAAAGACTGGTCAGACAAATTATACTTGTATCACGAATTAGAGGCTAAAAATTTATCTTTTGGACAGAAATAATATTGCAGATATTTACCTGGTTTTACCAAAAGATAATCTCCAACATGGCCGTTGACAGCAAAGTCAGTAATATTAAATTCAATCCCCTCTCCATCTCCATAGAATATCCAATCTATGATATTATTAGTCGGGTAGTAATTTGGATAATTAGGGGATGTTACCACCACCGGGTCCTCGCTTAATGTTATATGTATCGGAGCGATGTGCTTGTCGAAATTCTCCGATTTGGAGTTAAAATCTTCACTATGGTTTTGTTTAAACTTTTGCAATACTTCATCGTATTCCGATTGGATGACATAGTTATAATCTGTATCAGTTATTGTTGAATTTACTACATTATTGTCTTTGGTTTCTGTTTTTGTAACTTCAATTTCTGGTATCATTTCAGCGTCTGGGTTCTTTATTCCATCGCTCGCGTTCAATGCATCGTTTAGATACTCGATTGGGTGTGTTTTATGTTTGCTTTCTTCTTCTGATCTGGTGTCATCAGGGAAAGATTCTTTTTGCTCTGATTTCTTATTATCAAGTAATATATCTAAATGGCCATCATCTATATTTTCATAATCATCAGTTAAATCTATATAAGCTTTGTAAATTTCGTCTAATTCTTTTTCATCGTTAGATATAGTGTCATTAAATAAATCTGTTTCATTCAAACTATCTGCCATTTTACTCCAAGCTAACATATCATCGTATGCTTCATTGAAATTCTTTAAATTATCTTCGTCGACTTTTAAAATGTTCTCCATATCTTCTTGAGGTACAATTTTCTTTACTTCTTCATCCAGTCTGTCATCTGTACTATTCAATATCTTCTTTGTTTCTTCTAATGTGTCATTTAAGTTAGATGTATCCAGATTTATTGGTATAACTTCTAAAAAGTCATTTTTACCATCATCCTCTTTTAAAATATCTTTAGTTTCTTGTATTATTTCATCTGTTTCGTTTTTTGCATTATTAATTATATCATTTGTGTCTGCATCAAACTTTTTAATAGGATTCAATGGTTTAACTTCATGTTTACTTTCTTTGCTGTCATCAAGTGATTCTTTAATTCGATTCAAATCAGCTACATCTGCTGCTAAATCTTCAAGATCATCTAAATTCTCCTCGGACTCTTTTTTATCAGCAATTTCATCGTCCTCGCCTTCAGATCGATTATCTTCAATCTGATAATCTACTAAATCGATATCAGCAGAATCAATGTTGAATTGATCTTCGATATCACTTCTAAAGTTCTCTATTTCTTCAGCAACTTTGCGATCATTCTCCGCCTCTACATCATTTTGTATTTTATTCTCATCTACAGTGTCTTTGTTTTCTGAGCTGAGGATGCCAAGTTTTTCAAGTTCATCGCTATACCAATCGTAATTTGAATCGTCCTGCCAATAATCAGGAAAATGTTCACCTTCCTTCTGTAGCGCTGAAACAAAGAAATAATCATTGATTACTTTTATATCTTACTTCTTACTAATATTATTTAAAAGTTTACATGAATGGATATTTGTTAGAAGGTATCTTCAGAAAGGCTGCAGGGATTTCGCTAAAATTTGGCATAGACGTAAAACATAGCCTGTAAAAACGCATAGGCTACTTAAGTTTTTATTTAATTCTGCAATAACGGAATTTCGGATGACAGCTACTGTCGTAAAGTCTGATTTTAGTAACACGACCTCGGTGTTAAAATATTTCAAAGACATGTTATTTTTAACATTGCTTTAAATTAAAAATAGCTTATGTATCACTAAAAAGGTAACATTAACACTAAAAAGATAAAATTAAGTTTTTATATAGTGTAAAGTAATTGAGGGTAAAAGTAACAGGGCAAACGAGCAGTGTATCGCCTAAAATTGTTTGATCCGAGGCCAATGGATATCCGCAACGCTAGAGGATCCTCAGTTGCCGGCCTTTAAGGGAGGAGTAACATTTCTCGCGTCGCGGTGGCAAGTTAACACGATCTCGTGGCGTCCCAAATTATGGCTATGAGGGTTTAGTGGGTATGCTCCCATTCGGGGAGAGAATCCCATATAACTACCGTGCCTTCCCCGAGGCAAGGAGTATGCCTAAAGCATTCACCTCTGAATAAAAAAAAGGAGTAAGGTTTCTTGATGGCCCCAAAGTCATAACTGTTTGGAAATACCACTGAGGACAGTATATTCAACAATTTGGGCTGTTCGAGGTAAAAAGTTACGCGAAAACCTCGTTGTGGAATGCCAGCCTTTCTCGATTCGATATTAATGGATAGAGATCCATTATTGTGCTCGGCCGTTACCATGTCAATAATTTAACATATCTGTAAAACATTATCAAATTTATTCCAGACCTAACGAACAGATAAAATGACGCATGTAACATAGTCCAACCGCTCACCTATTGACCTCCAGATACAAAATGGCGGCGCTTATTTATGTGAAGCGAAAAATTCCACAAGTGCATTGTATTGTGCTCATATACTCAGTTATACGTTAATTTGGATGCTTCAGCCTTTTTTTTCAGAGAGGAATGCTTTATGCATACTCCGCGCCCCGGGGGGGGGACGCGGTAGTTATGTGGGATTCTCCTCCATAGCGGAGGCATACCCACTAAACCTCTCTGTTCCTCCAACGCATCGGGACGGGACCACGGGCACGCTTTCGCTCACGTCCGCGGCCAGATGCTTCAGCCTAGCCAAAGTTAGGGATAACTAGATCTTATCTCAGTGACTTTATTAATTGTATTCGTTATTTTTCTTTAATATTTATAATTACAAACTAGCGGACGCCCGCGACGCTGTTTAAATTTGAGTTAATTCGTTACATACAAAAAAAATCTTTAATCTTTATCATCATCATCAGCCTAAATTTATCCACTGCTGGATGTAGGCCTCCCCCATCGATTGCCACAATGCCCGGTCCTGTGCTGCCCGCATCCAGTGCACGCCCGCAACCTTGATCAGGTCATCGGTCAATCGTGCGGGAGGCCTACCTACACTGCGTCGACCCGTCGTCGTCGTTGTTTACATTAGTATAGAAAGCAGATAAATGTAATATAATATTTGCAAATATTCTTGTTTTACTAGGATTACTATGTGCAAATTACATTTGGGTTTTTCCGCAACATAATTTGAAATATATTTGTTTATAGTTTCACAGAATATGCGTAAAGATTATACAATAGTAACTGTCAGGTATTCCGTGCGCGAGGGAATAAAACACAATTAATAGTCTGTGTTCTTCCAGACTATGTTCTACATCTATGTCAAATTTCATCGAGATACATGCATTCGAGCGAGCGGCAAACTGAAATCGCTGAAATAGCACAGCGACCGTTGCCCATAGACATACGCAATTGCAGATGCGTTGCCTACCTTTGATCGACAGAGGATACACAGAAAGAGAATATTTCCCTTCCTATGCATCCCCTCATCCTTTCCTTATAAGAGAAAAGATGGGAAGGGAAAGAGAAATTAAGCCTCCGGGACAAGCAATGATCAGACTGCATGCAGAATTGCTTCCACTTGACGCCTATCTTCTGTGTGGTCGTGGTATTTCACCGGGCGAGCCGGGACAATTCGTGCGAATATGTTAAAGTGGGTTCTACCACTGTTAAAGATGTCTTGTAACAAACATCCATCCAAACATTCGCATTTATAATATTAGTAATATGTATTAATGCAAATCCGAATGGCATTTATAATAACTACAAATACTAAGTAAAAACACGATGCGTCATTTCGTGAATCACACGACAATTAAAATGACGGCCATTTTGCAAAACATTTCTTGTAACGACATGTTGTTTTAATAATTTATTCAACAATATTGTACATAAAAATGTCTTTTTAACCGTATTATCTTGGGTTTCTGATACCAAAATCGCCATTGAAAACTTTCATTGAAAAGGAGAAAGGATACAAGGAAACTTCCACTTGATGCCTGTCTTCTGTGTGGTTGTGATATTTCACAGGTCGAGCGAGCCTTTTATGCTGTTACTAGCTGTTGCTCGCGACTCTGTTCGCGCGGAATTAAAAAACTTAAAATCCTATGTGTTCTTCCAGACTATGTTCTACATCTTTGCCAAATTTCAACGAAATCTATTCAGCCGTTCTGGAGACATCATGTAACAAACATCCACTGTTCTTTATCAAAATAGTCATGTAAATAATATTTTAAATAAAGATAAATTGCAACAATTGGCTTATAAAATGTTCAATATTATCTATAATGGGCACAATTAAATTGATTAGTTCGCTTGAATGATAGCAATTGATAAATTAATGTGATAAAATAATAGTTAGTTACATAAAGAAGGTAAAGGAAAACATCGTGATGCTGCACATATCTTTTTTTTTATATCAAAAGGTGGCAAACGAGCAATCGGCCACCCGAAATCGCTGAAATAGCGAAATGACCGTTGCCCATAGACATACGCAATCGCATATGCGTTGCCTACCTTTAATCGACGGAGGAGAGGATGGACAGAAAGAAAATATTTCTCCTTCCCATGCATCCTCTTATCTGGAAAGTCCACTTCCACTTCCCATCCTTTCCTTCTAAGAAAAAGGGTGGGAAGGGAAAGAGGACTAAATTAGGCCTCCGGGACGCGCACACTCATCAGACGAAACGCGGAATTGCTTCCACTTCACGCCTGTTTTCTGTGTGGTCGTGGTATTTCACCGGGCGAACCGGGCCGATTCGTGCGAAGATGTTAAAGCGGGCTCTGTTAAAATATCTGAGAAGAAATTCAAAAGATATGTGTGTAGTCAAACCCGCACTGGGCCAGTGTTTCGTGAGTGAATTGCCACTGTTTGCCTTAAGAGGCATCTACAGCTTCACCGGGCTTGAGATGGCGGAGCGCAGATGGCGCTTAGCCTAAAGCTCGTTTAAGAGTAACTAAGTTCGAGGGCTCCCTCAGGAACCTCAGGCCGTTACTTCGTTATTATTACTGGATTGAAGGGCCAGTGTTGTCTATGGTCTAGTCAGAGTAGGCTCAGAGTCCCTTAATTGGGACGTATAGTGAGCTGATGATGTTTTTTTGCTTTACGATTTTTTGGTGTAATGTTATGTAGATGTTTATTAACAAAATGAACGTCACTTAAACCTTATAAAACCTAATTTTGGAATAACAGGTAGTTTTGTCTTTTTTGACCAATTAATGCGCCAATGACTTAAAAGACCCAAGGACGAGGCAGTTGTTAAACCGGACTGTGATATTTAAAAACATCCAGTTTCGATCCCCGCTATACCAATGTGTTTTTCGATTTTTTATTTATATATGTATATTTATCCTATGTTACAGTAAAGGAAAACATTATGTAGCTGCGTATATCTGAGAAGAAATTGAAAAATGTGTGAAGTAAACCCGCTCTGGGCCAGTGTTGACTATGGTCTAGTCACATCTAACTTAGGGTAGGCTCCGAGCTGACGATAACAATCTAATGGTTAAGGTCATGAACATCCGATCGGGTGGTTGTCGGTTCGATATTGGGAAATTCCGACTACTGTGATTTACTAAAATATCCTAGCACAAGCCTAAAGTTTTGTTGGAAATGATTACAATAAATTTAAGTAAACATTAAATTTTAATAATTTGCTAATATTTAAAATTAAAAAAAAAACTATGTTTGTCAACGTACGTAAATATAAATCGTTTACGTTAATTATTGTTGTTGATTTTTCATAAACATATTCGTGTTTGTACATTTTCTGTTTACGTAAATATTGGTAAATTGTATGACAATCTTGAAAATAATGTAAAAATACGTGAGCTAACATACAGACATATAGTAATTTATCAAAGTATTACTAAATCAAACAGTTACATTGTAATAAATAACATTAATGTAGAATATATTTAATTATATAAATTACAAGCCGTATTCCGTCTGCGCGGAATTAAAAAAAACCTAGTAAATAGCCTATGAGTTCTTCCAGAGAACGTTCTACATCTGTACCAAATTTCATAAAGATGGGTTGAGAGGTTCCAGAGATACCTTCAAACAAACATCCATCCATCTAAACATTCGCATTTATAATATTAGTAAGATGATTTAACAATGGTAGACGCTAACCACATCTGTTGCACGAAATGGCTTCGCCTATAGCAGTGGTTCCCAAACTTATTTTGTCTACTGCCCACTTTGAGAATAAATATTTTTTTAGCGCCCTCATATTAGAGTTTAAGCAATCTTTTAATTCATATTAGTTGATGTTCACAAATTGTTGTTGAGAGTCGAGAGCTCATGCAGTCGTTGTCTAAGAGGCCTCCTAGCTAAATAAAATTTCAAATCACCCCCCAGGCCTCTACACAACGCCCCCATTTTCTTTCTGGGTTTCTTACCGCCCCCCTTGAGAACTGCAGCTCCCACAAGGGGGCGTTATAGCCCACTTTGGGAAAGACTGGCCTATAGCAATACCACGACCACAGAGAAGGCGTCAAGTGGAAGTAATTCCAACTACAGTATCTTCATTCCCAGTCTTTTCTTATAAAGAAAGGAAAGGGAAGCGTATTGCACAGAAGATGAGATGCATAAGGGGAAATATCCACTTTTAATGCATAATCATGTTTCAATGTCATGAAACATATCAGCGTGCGATAAAAATTTAGATATGTTTAAGCTAAAATGCGTTGAATCACTGTTTTTTTATTGTTAGGCCTATAGAGTTGTAAACAGGATGCGGGTAATCTCCGAGCCGGATAAAGTCCGGATGTAATCTGTTGTACGGATCATTGCGGTGCGACGACCGGTTAAAACGACGAAGCCGTACAATGTCTGCGAATCACTAACAATGATAGTTAACAAATTATAGTTTTGTTCTTAATATTCTTCATCATCAGCTCACTATACGTCCCCACCGAGGGGCTCGGAGCCTACCCTAAGTTAAGGGTGATTAGGCCATAGTCAACCGCGCTGGCCAAGTGCGGGTTGGTTGACTTCACACATATCTTTGAATTACTTCTCAGATATGTGCAGGTTGCATCACGATGTTTTCCTTCACCGTAAGAACGTCGGACTAATGTACATATGTAGATCAAAAATCGAAAAACACATTGATAAATGACGGGATTCGAACCCAGGGCTTGCAGATTGCAAGTAAAGTGCTTGACCCCTGAGATAGCGACGTTCAAGTATTACTTGATTAAGATAATTTTTTGAATTACATATAGACAGTAAATAATTTTATTTTATGGAAATCGTTAACACTATATTTATTTGCGTCTGTTTTAATATGAATATGTTTGTTTTAGAATCCAAATTGAGTGATAAAAGTTATTTTAAATAAGTCATTACATGTTTTTACAATTAATGTACCAATGACGAAATCGACTCTACATCTTTGGAGTGCATTAAAATATCTTTCGTGTCGATTCAATTAAGTAAATTGAACATTTAAAAATAAATCCTTTTTAAGAAACAACTAAGGCACTATTTCATCCATTATAGCCAGTCAGGTTTTTTTTTAAAATAAGGTTAATATATATTTAAAGGCTGTTAAAGATAAACAAAATCGGTGTATACCCGTTTACGTTTATTTTTTGTCTGTGTTTTGATGCATTTTGTTTTGCTGATGTCATCTGGTTATTACCAGATCGTAATCGTTCATCAATCGACCGGGACGATCGTAACAACGCACAAACAAACAGGATGGCTACATCTCACTGCATATTTAGATAAAAATAGAACGGATTAATTTAGATACACGTCCACATATAGAAGAATCTAGAACAACCATGTGATTAATCACACCAACATAACTATTTTATAACAACAAAACTTTAAAACAAATAATAAAAATAAAACACCATCGCAAATCGGTTACGCGCATTCACCAAACAAAAAAAATACCAAAAAACATCATTATAATGATACAGATTATAAAAATATTAAGATTCTTATCATAATTACCTTCAACACTGAAGGATATTGATAAGAGAGCGATGTAAATCCAATATTTATCCATTGTTTGGTCACTAACTCATGCGCGTACGCACGTCCGTTTCACACGGGTCGCGAGACCTTACTGACGCGTTTTGTGATGACGTATCACTTTGTGATACCTTTTATCAAGTTGTGTGTGATAACAAGCGATTATGATACCTTTGTACGTGTGATAATGCATCGCTTTCTTGTTAAATTGATAAGACAACTTTATAGGTATGTTTTGATAAACATGTTTTTCCTTTGTTTGCGTTTATGGTATTTTTGTCATGTGTTTAAAAATAAATCGCTTACCATATGACCTTGTGACAGCATCGATAAATGATTCGATTCCTTGAACAATTTTCTCAATACTTCATTCGTATTTATTTATTTATTTTATTTAATTTTAAATCTACACTAATAGAGTGATGGGATTATTTTATTGACCTTTTAAATTTTCTCTGAATATGTCCGTGAGTACAGTTCAAAATATCGCGTCGTTAATTACTCAAAATTCTTTGTGAGTGAAAAATATTCGAAATATTGTTTTTTAAATCATCAATCATTCAACAGATAAGTGTATGTAAAAATAAAATACGATCAATTTTAATAAATCCTTTGTTTCAAAACTATCGTAGTGATACTAAATTTACCAAATACAGGAAAATGATTAATTTAAAAAAGTACTAGCAGTTGCACGCAACTTAGTCCTCGCGAAATTTAAAAAAAACTGGCAATAAATATTGTCTATGTCACCCGGGTATAGTGTTTCTCGACGAAAGATATTTTCAAATCGGTCAAGTAGTTTCGGATCATATTCATTGCAAACAAACAAATATTTCTTCTTTATAACATAATGATACTATATTTTAAAGATGCTTACGTATAGGAAAACTTGATATTTGTATTTTTGCATGACAATATTAATTTATATTCGACAATAAAAACCCGATGAATTACACAAAGCCCCAACATATTAAATACTAGCTGTCGCCCGCGACACCGTCCGCGACCTATGTATTCTACATTTATGCCTAATTTCAGCGAGATCCATGGTTCTATGCAGCCGTTCTGGAGATACCTTCAGAAAAACATCCATACATCCATCCATCTATCCACATTGATTTGGATTAGTCACACTATTTTACGTAAAAATTTTGTTTACACATGTGTCCTTGACGGAGAGTTATGTATGACTCAAGCACTATACTACGTCCACCGTGACAAGAAAACAACAAAAATATATTAAACTGTTTATTACTTCCTTGGGAAAATAGATAAAATAAAAATTAAGTTTATATGTCAGACAAGACAGGAAATTTAATAAGACAATTCATATTCTAATTCGTGTTATAAGATATTGTGTAAAAAATTGGTAATAAAACAAAAGAAAATCTCCAGTTGATGAAATAAACAGCTAAAATAAAAAATTTCTAGAACATTTTGTAAATTTCAGCAAAAACTCATCGAAACACATAAACAATATTATATTTACGACGTCATTCTTTATGTATAGTGAAAATTAAAATCACTTGTTTCAATTTAAAAAATATAAGTAAAATAAAAAATAATTACAAGAATGACGTCATAAATATAATACTTTTTATGTGTTTCACAGTCATTATCGCCAACGTCCATACCACGTTGAATACACCGGTTCTCGTCCGATCACCGAAGTTAAGCAACGTCGGGCGCGGTCAGTACTTGGATGGGTGACCGCCTGGGAACACCGCGTGATGTTGGCTTTTTGTTGATTTTTGTTAACCTTCCTGTACCCGCGCCAAATTTTTTAACACCTATACCCGCGCATGGTGTGACAGACCGTAACTTTGACTCCTATTACATAGTTATTTTTCTATAAAACCGTTTATATTTTTTTTATTTTACAGGAACTATAGGATGTAATAAAACAAAAAATACCAATTGTTAGCTAATAATATTTAATACTGTAATGACTATCAGTCTTTCCATAACAGCCTTAAAAAAGTCTCATTTTTTCTTATAGTCATGAAAAACAAACATAAAACTTTTTATTCTAAAAACAAACATAAAACAATTTTTAATTCCTAAAAATAAGGTATTTTGAGATCAACGTAAAATAAAATTAGTTACATTTTAGGCGGTTTATTTCTTTATTTGTCCACTGAACAATCCGAGTACAAACACTTTCCGAGAAAAATAGCCTCCATATTTCTAGCGGCTCTTTCGTGTTTTTAGCTTCACCCTTAGGTCCTGGGAGTTGTGTCACGAGATTCCTGATGCAGCGCCTAACCTGGCTTGACCCAGGAGTTTTATTCCACCGCGTACGCCTGTCTTTTCCGATGTAATCGTTAGAGTCAGAACTTTCTTCCTCCAACAACAATCGAATACGTTCTTCATTCATTTTTGAAGCGTTTATAACCTAAAAAAATTATAAATCGATATAGTAGTTGTAAACAAGTAAAATACAAGACAAATCATTGCATAAAAATAAGTATATAACATGTATATACACATAAACAAAAAAATATGACTTACGTAAAAAGTTGATCGTGTACCCGCGTCGGTGTCACAGACCGATCAGACCGTATTAGGCCTAAACGTCCTGCTCGCACGACTGTGTCCCACTTACCAACCAAAAGCAAGCCCCAAATCGTGCAGCTAGCAGAAAGCGCGAACTCTCAAAGTTCTTGGAAAAAAAAAATATTTACGAAAAACTGTTTCGTCGGTCTCACAGACATTTGCGCGGGTATAGGAAGGTTAAGGGTATTATCGTATTAGTAATAAGATTCTTACGTTAATAGTTGCTTTCGCCAACGTCCATACCACGTTGAACACACCGGTTCTCGTCCGATCACCGAAGTTAAGCAACGTCGGGCGCGGTCAG